GTTTTAGGAAAATTCAATTGCCACCTCTTATATTAAATCTACCAATAGTCTGGATGACCTACTTAAAAAAGAAATTAACTAATGTAGTCGACTGATGCAGCAAATAACACTTCTGTTCGTTGAGATTCCTACCTTGAAATCCCCTTTTGCCATCTGAGTCGAAGGCTCTCGTGGCAGTCCAACGCAGTGGTACCATGTCGAGACTATACACTACACTACACTACACAACCCGGGTTCGAGTCCCGCTGGAGGTGCAGATGAGCCCAGTTCGGACGAGGTCGAAACGAAAGTCCATTTCAGCCGTGATAAGAGCAGTTTTTGGCAGCGAGATTGTGTGAGTTAAAATGAGAATGTGAGGCATATTCATATCATTTTGGGATACTTCAACTACTAGTCCTTCATCATCTCAAACGGAATAGGATGAGTAGAACTCTTGTGCGCAGAATTATCACAACCCGGGTTCGAGTCCGGCTGATGGTGTTGAGACTAGTTCGGGAGAAATCGAAACTGCCGTCAAGTTCAATCGAGTCGAGTCGCGATGGGAATACCTTCAGGGAGGGAAGGTTGTGTGGAGTTCGAGCTAGGCTGGGGCGGAGTGGGTCTGACCTCGTTTTCGCAACTTGGTCGTCCTGTCGATGCGACAATCAACAATCGACCTTGCACACCAACCATCTTTGTCAGCGTTGCCATGCCTTCGTACAGCCTCAAAATGCCAACTGTACGCATTCCCACAATTGTCGAAGGCATCGTAAATGGGAAGTATAATTGGGGAATGCACCCTATCAACTGTCCGCGACAGAGGACATCGTCCAAGGTAACTTCTTCAAAGTCGCCTTGACAACATGACCACATTACGAATACTGGATCAGACAACTTTTATATCGAAGACAGAGATTGCAGCCACCATCTTGGCATTCGTACTGGGGATAGTATGCTGAATATGAGATGTGTTTACCCTATTTCGTTAAAGGTGATGAAGAAGTCTCGAAGTCCTACTTACAAACTAAAAATAGGTAACTTAGTCGATTGTTATGGCAAATAAAACTTTTCTTTTTTCGGCCGTCCCAACAGAGAATGTGATACTGGAAAACGCCTAGCATCCCTTGAAATTCACATCTGGCCCGTGACCCATTGAAACTCATGACAATGTGACCTGGTTGTTAATGTATCGAGATTACGCGCTGCACTGTTAGGGTTCGAGTCCCGCTAGGAGTGTAAGATAAGGTCAAAGCTACAGTCCACTTTTGTCTGAATGAGAATACCTTTCGAGCAAAAGGGAAATGTGAAATTCAATGGAAACTGAAGGTCTATTCATATGATTATGGGAAAATTCAACTAGCATTCCTTCATCACCCTAACAGAAATAGGATAACTACAGTTCATATATCTGGTTTACTGGCCATCTCGAAATTCCACTTTGAAAAAAAATTCTATGCAAAATGCTTAAAATCAAATAAATGATGATTGATTCATATTTACGACTTTTGGAGCTTTGTTTACCCAAAGTCACAGTCATAACAGTCTTCTCGGTTTCCGATGTGGCCACTTTACAAAAAGAATATTTCAGATATCTCAAATTATTAATGGTTTCCTAAGAAACTCGCTTTTGTTCAGGCATGGAGCATACGCCTCTGGGCCTCAAGACAAAGCTGGTGATCACACTCGC